AAAACCAAAACAGCCAAAAAATGCTAGGGTTGGTTCGGCGACGCCCTGTAGACTGTAGAGGATACGCAACTATGTTAACAATGTACTGAAGGGGAAAATTCCATAGACATTTTATGGTTTGTATTAATATCTCATCCCAAACTTTTATTTATTCCAACTTGTTACAGCCTATTTGAAACTGAATGAAAAACAGCTTGATATGCACCAGCTTTCAGCTTTGATTAAAATTAAAGTAATTAACCTTTACGTCCTTTTTAGGATGAAATTTGTTGTTATTTGAAGCCTCACTTTGGCTTTTGCCAGGGACCGCAATATAGACAGGTCATAAATATGGCCATTTGTCTGAACGCGGTTTCTGGGACCTCTCCATGGTGATCCTCATCCACATGGTGGCACTTTGTGTCATTGTGTGTTTATCGCTTGTGTGATGTCCTAGTGGGGTAGAAAAAAAAAAATAAAAAAAAAAGCTTTGATTAATTTGTATAATATTTTTTAAGGTTTTCTGTGATGAGATGGTGTACTTTAAAACGTTATGAACCTTGGGGCTGTATACATCTTAGAGCCTCGTCAAGTCTAAATCAGGCGCTGGTTTTTATTTGCTTATTTGACGGATTAACATATAATATGGCACACAGATCTAACATATGAGTGCTGCGTTCTACTTTTAATTCAAACCTGAGCCTGAAGATTCTCAGCGCAGTGCATGAACTCCGCTGCACCGGTGAGGATTTGGACAGCAAATAATATGGGGCCGGTATTCGGAAGAGTGCCTATTGTGGCCCCCGACATTAACCTGAGTGGGGCTTTAAAGTAACCACACACACACACACACCACACAAAACTGCGTCACATACTGGGGGTGAAATATAGTTCCTCGAAGCGTCCCCAGCAACGGATATATATAATGGTGCATTAGACTTGCAGAAATAAATAATTTGAATATAAATTAAAATTTATATAAATAATATGGCACTTATTCGAAAGAGTGCCAATAATATTGTTAAACACACCCCAGAGTTTCAAACTGTTATTGGTAAGCCCAAAAAACATTTATGATATAGAAATTAAAAGTAGCCAGCGATTTTCAACCAACAGGGAGGAGAGGAATATTTGCAGCCGGACTAGAGTGTCACCCAAACAGTGATGAGCAGACGATGGATTCCCCTTTTGGGTGACGTCCAGGTGCTGGGCTTGGCTACAATTTTCTCTCACATATCGTGAGGTAAGTTAGCTGGCAATATATGGGCTGCTTGCCTTAAATATATTTGATAATCGAGGTAATTTATTTTGATTATATCAATAGGAATTACTGACTTAACTACTAAACAAGTACCTCTCATTAACTCATATTTATTATTTCATTGCGAGTGTCTGGGTTAGGTAGGTAGGCGTTGGCTCTTTATTTTTTGTTTCACTTTAAACAAACGCCCAAGTTGGTTTAATTGATTAAAATTGTTTGAATCTACATGAATGACTGACCTTATTACCACACAAGTGCCTCTCGTCTACGCGAAGTCTGGGACGGTAGACGTTGACTCCAGTCATTTATTGATTAAATTTTATTTTTAAACAGCTGTGGGTGAGTCTTTCTATTGAAGTCTTGTTTAATTCATAATTAAAACAAATTCTCGCATGCTATATACGAGTTTTAACATATGGCTGTGAATCCTGGACAGTTAATAAGCAAGCTAAAGAAATTCTTGAGGTCTTGGATTATTTTTTTTGTCTTTTTGCACAAAATGAGGCCGCAGAACCCACATGGGTACCTGCAAAAGGGGAAGAAGATCAAGAAGCAAACATACTAAAGGCTGTCTGCTGTTGTTGTGGTTTGTAACTAGAACGACTCCAGTTGAAAACTCAAGATTTTCTTATGTGTAAACTTGTGTGTTACCTTCTCCCCTTTGGGAGTCGATGTGGTGTAGCTGCTTGATGGGTTCAGGTTCTGACAGAGCCAGACTTTTTGTCTTTTCAGAAATGATCTTGGCTCTCAGGTTGACCCCGCCTTAGTGAGAACCAGGTGGAGTCCTAGGAAGTAAAGGTGGCTGGAGTGATGCTGACCACATCACCCGCTCAGTGCCGATTAACCGGGAAGTCAAGGTGGCTGGAGTGATGCTGACCACATCATCCGCTCAGTGCCGATTACCTGGGAAGTCAAGGCGGCCGGAGTGATGCTGACCACATCACCCGCTCAGTGCCAATTACCTAGGAAGTCAAGGCGGCCGGAGTGATGCTGACCACATCACCCGCTCAGTGCCGATTACCTAGGAAGTCAAGGCGGCCAGAGTGATGCTGACCACATCACCCGCTCAGTCTGTGAAATATAGGTCTAGTCCTATACGCCAAATACACCTGAAGGTAGGGAAAAGGGTCCTTTGCTTTACTTATAGTTCTCCCGTTCGTTAACGTTCTTTATCACAGCTCAGTAAAGTAAATTCTAGGTATTTGCTTGACTGCAGTAATCCCATGTTTTCATAACTTGAAGGCTGTAATCATGAAAGCCATTGTGACGTGACGCGTGGTTTAAATGTTTATGTTGTTGAGTAGGGATCTTCCTTTCAACACATTCTCTCCACTAGATAAACCGAACTAAAATCTGAGCTATGTTGCTCTCAGACAAAGTCCTGGATATCCAAGAAAACAGCCATATTGGCTCGTTAAGTACTTTAACATTAGCTGCACTTGGTACCCACAAGAGAAGGCAAGGAATTTTAGATGTCTATCATACTTAATGAATTATTAGACAGGGCAAGTGATTCCTCCGTCATCTACCTTCTCCCGGTGTTTTTATGAATAATTAAAGAATTATTATATTATTTATTGAGCCCCCACCAAATGTTATTCTATCCTAACAGTTTAATTAAACATGTAAGAACAGACATTTGGAATTTAACAAACTATGTAGTTTAAAACTTGACATACAGCTTTATTTACTACAATGAAATTCCCAGTTTGTTGATTTACACAAACAGTGACTGGTTAATGAAAGGGATACGCTTCAGTGAGACAAACAGCTCGGGGTTTAGAGTGGTATGATAATAATGATAAAAGGTTAACATAAAGGGGTTAACTCAACTTATAAGCCTCTGACAGCCGTGAGGAACTGTCAAGCTTGTCCAACTCTTCCTTGCCTGTTGTCTGCCTGTTTCAGCTTATTCTCCACTTCCTCCCCACCTCGTTCTCCACATCGTTCTCCACCTCGTTCTCCACCTCGTTCCCAGCTGGCCGAGTCTAACACTATGTAGTCTCTTTCATGGACTGATCGTCACATGGGCGCTGTAATCATGGAAACAAAACACATACGTGTAGTATCTTGACTTACACTAAGAATACATGTATTAATTAATACAACATATAATAATAAAATATATCCCATCACTCCTCCTCATATTCCACATTCTCTCCAGTCTAGTCTGAAGGTCTTTTGTCTTACATGGGCGTCACATATCCTGCCTTCCCTCAAATGCTATGTCATGATAGTTGACTTTCTAAGTCTGTTGTCCGTCTTCACTCAGACTTCGAGTTGGCTGACATAGATTTGACATAAACATGTGGCGCAGGTTATGTGCTGAACCCGCAAACAATTTATATGTGCACGCTGTCCTGAATATTATCTTTCAGTGACCGTGAATTCTATACACCCATCATCCTTCCCCTGGGGTTATAAATCCCCTGTTCAGGTGAACACATTAAGTGAGCACATGGTGGGCACATAAAACGAAGCAGCATCCCTGCACATATTTGGGCATCATTTCCCACAGTCCCAACTCATATTTTGGCTGATCGTGAAAACAATATAATTACATTTCATTATAGCAAATGTCATTGTTCACATCTTATTTTATACACATGAAAACATACAATGAAAAACATGTGACACAAACATACAAGAAATAGGAATAGTTTAGCAGTTCCCTAACTGAGATACTGAATATTCACACAGAACTATTTCAAGCAGAATGTGCAGACAAATTAGGAAAAGGTAGTATAGACTAAGCTTAACTCCCTAACCTATGTATACAAGATTAAAATTAATATTTTCTCTCACCTGGTAACTTTTCCATCTATCGCCAAACCAGAGTACGACAGTAAAATATACCTTCACGTCGACCTGTGTTTGTTTGCCGGCAGGCTGCGATTAATGATGGAAATTCCACAGGCTCGAAGTATAAGTATCAATCTATTGTCCAAATTAAACTCCTCCCTTTCCTTAGTTTTTACCCAACCCTCAAGATGATGGCTTAAGCACCGCCCCTGAGGTAACTATCAGATCACTTGGCTAACCAGTGACCTGTCACTCACAGTGAACGGCCTACAGTACGACCTTGACCAAGATAAACCATTCCTAATTGCCAAACACCTGTTCTCTCCAGAATTACACTGACGTGTTAAACTCCGACCTCCCGGCTCCACAATGTCTAGCGTCTACTCAATTCCCCTGTTCAAAAGGGCCCCGCTCAGTCTCTACAGTCTGGTCAGGAGATAACATTCTGACACTGGCGTGAGAATCCAACCTCACATCCCTAGTCTGAACCAGCGGGCTGTATTACGTAGTGTTAGGTAATTTTAAACAAAGCGCAGTGGCTTTGTTTGGGAGAAGGACTGGTAACATTTAAATCAATTTGGTTTAAAGTAATATTAGGGTAAAGGGCAGAGTAAATATAATCCTCTCTCTTTAGAACCAGAAGAACTTATTACAAGTACTAACTTCTGGAATCACTGAGATCGTCTCGTGACAGCCATAAAAAACCATCCTAAAATCAAATTGTGAGGAATTTATTTCTCTTAGCCATCATGCTTTTTTGTGCCTTACAATTTTACAGGTCGTTGATTGAATTGCAACAGACAGTGTTCATACTAAAGACAGCATTGCATATATATGTAATCTGTTTCAAGTGAAAGAAAGAAGAAGAAGAATTCTCTTGTTTTCTTTTTCTTGAAGAAAGTTGTTTAGTGATCTGATGTGCCCATTTATTCATTTGACATAATATTTGTTTTGGCAGATGGTGAATAAAATGAGCGAGCAGCCGGGGAATGGGGAGGTTAAGCTGTATCATGAACGACAGGTGAAAGAGTTGTGTGCCTTGCATGCTCTTAACAACCTCCTACAGAGTGACCAGGCGTTCACGAAAAAAGATCTGGATGATATTTGCAACAGGTATGCACTATAACTGCTTTTTCAAAAACAATAATGGGAACAACTCACAAACTCGGGCCCCATCACCCCCTATTTACACTCCAGCTGACATTTCATTGATACTTGGTAAGACTGGTCAACCTTGGTAAAAGTTAGGAGGGTGTGCCGGTGTACCTCTGTATTTACACAGCTTTCTGCGTTACGTTAAAGCTTATACTGGGATTAGTGGCCGCGCAAATTGCGTACTCTCTTGTAAGCAGTATTAGTGTTTGTTGGTGGGTATATGACAGCCAGCTAGGAAATTAGTTTATTGCAGAGGTTAGCGTTGCGTGTCTGCAGTGACACAGCGTTGTGCGGGTCACCGCAAAATGTTAAGAATTCTGAAACCACGGCACGTAGAATGCACTGTCTCGTAGGATCTATGTTCAGTGTGTGGGGAAGGGAAGGGGGGCAGGGGCTTTGGGGTTAGGGTCAGTTGTACATGCTATGCGGTTGTAAAGGCGCTCACATCTTCTAATAAAGAGTACGCGTGGTCCCAAGTAGGAGCGTCAGCCGAGCCGACACCCCTGCCACTTCCACTTGCGTGTCTCAGAGCTTGAGGTCGAGACTGAACGTCTAACAGTGTCGCGGCCTGCCTCCATCAATCACAAATGTGTAGATGGGCGGAGATAGGCCTGAGTTAGTAAGTTGAAATGAAATGTGATTCAAAGGGGCTGAATCAGGACTAGGTCTACACCTCATCCTAGAAATAGGTTCTCAATCAGGTCCTGGCCAACATAGATAGGGTCGACGTTTATTTTGAACTTGAGTTGCCTGAGAGGCAAGGAACCAGCTGTCTGCACACATTAACAAAGTCTGTAAAACAGATGTGCAACATCACTGAAGTCTTGAAACAAGACCAAAGTTCAAACATTTATGAAAAACTAAGACTTTCCGCCAAAGTCTAGAGCCAATGAATGCGAAGAAGAAGAAGAATTAGTAAAGTAACTTTCTGCTTCTAACTGATGGTTTCTTGTAATAAGACATTGATATTTTTTAACAATTAACAAAAATATTAGAATACTGGAAGCTACAGTAAATGAAATTAGGGCTAGACATTCCTGTGCAGGATGTGACAATCTTTTCTTGTTTGACCAGTACTAGAGTATTAAAGGTTAGCTCTACATTAATGTAAGCTTCCTTGGATTGTGGGCTAGGCTATGCCCATCGTTTGTCTTCTGTTAAAGGTCCAGAACATATATCCACCCACACTGGACCACAGGTTACTTTGTAACCGTGTAGTGGTGCCCACATTATAACTGTGTTATACAGTTTTCAGGATTTGAACCTGTTTAATTCTCATTGTAATTCTACAGACTGCAGTCCTGGAGAGGAAAATCTATTAAAGAAAGGAAACAAAATTTGAACAAAGAAGGCACAAACAATAGATTGCCCAATTTATTGCCTGGCATATTTCGTTGTATCTCGTCAGGAGTATACTACAGTAACAGTTACATACCTGAAGCAGATAAGTGAATCTTTTATAACTGAAGTACAGAATCAACAACAAACAAAAGCAACTGCTTGTTTCAACAGGGCAGCCGCAGTGTCTATTGTTTGTGTCCTTGTGATGATTTATAACTGAAGTACAGAATCAACAACAAACAAAAGCAACTGCTTGTTTCAACAGGGCAGCCGCAGTGTCTATTGTTTGTGTTTCAACAGAGCAGCCACAGCATGGTCTCCACGCTCACAGCGAGCCAAGCGGAAAAACCGTGCGACAAACAACCGCCCGCAAGTCTTGGGGCCAGTTGAGTAGACGTGGGCAGGCCCGAGCTAGACTCATGGTCAGTTGCTTACCAAAAGTGGTAGAAGACAGTTATGTTAATAGAAGATGTAGTCTTATGTCCCGTGAATGACCAGTGGTTGAATATGTTGCAAGCGATGGAAGTGTGAATAATCGTTGGAGCATGGTGAATAAATGCAACAGAATAAACTGACAGCATGTACAAGGAAGCTGAGCGGCAATTGTGTTATCAGTCCTAGATGTTAGAGCAGTGCAAGTAGATATGTTGCAGTAATCATATAAAGCTGAATCGTGGCGAAAGCAGATACGTCATAAGCCAAGGTTCATCGCAGTCCTCTTTTTTCAGATTTATAACGGGGAAAACATTGTTTTGATTTTCTGAAAAGAAAGAAAGTTTAGTTTAAGCGGGTGTACATATGGCTGTTCTGGAGCAGCCTGCTGGGGGGGCACAGTCTGTGGATGAAGAGGCAGATGACTTCACATCTGTGAGGCTGTGTTGTGTTCTACAGAACTAGTGAGAAAGGCTGATCTGGTCTTCCAGTGTGGGTTTTCTGGGGCCCCATAGGGTGGAAAACAAGAATAGACCCACTGCCTTACCAACACTCAAGTAAGAGTCGACTAATTGGGAGCTTTCTTCAAAGTCGGAGTTCATCTGCTTGAAAGACAGCGAACGACCAACTGCACACAGATAAGCTATTAAAACTGATGTACACGCAAAACTCAGGCCCTGGCACAAAGCGAAAATCTAAATGGACGAACAACCAGGACTTTCTGCTGGAGCTTACAGCCAGTGATCAAAGAAGAAGAAGATAATCTGGTCAATAAATGCAGCAAGTATAACGTGTTGGCCGAAATGCTGCACCATACATTTCTTCTTTGTTAGAATTTCAAGCCCTTGCTGCAGATATGGCCACCTCCATTCACCTCTGTGATCGGCTTTCTCTCTTCAGTTGGTGACCCCAAGTGTTTGTGGATCTTCTTGTATATTATCCTTTTTGTCTGTCTTGTGTTCTGCTCCCATTCAACACTTTAGCATATAGATTCTGTTCTCTCTCTTTTATCTGCCATTCTGACTATATGCCCCAATTATTGCAGTCTATTAGCCCTCTTGATGCCAATAATTAGTAATAAGATGAAACATTTTGCCTTTCACTCTTCATTTTCCATAATTTGCATCCACCCAGTGATTGCAATAAATACATTGTGACACACCTTGATCATTGATGTGACTTTTAAAAGATAAAATGGCAGCATGTTATTTTGTTCTGCTGTTGGTTAATTTATCAAGCAAGGCGTCTATTTTCAGACTGTCTCCTGGCTCATTTATCAACCCTCACAGAAGTATACTGGGCCTGGGAAACTATGATGTAAATGTTCTTATGGCTGCTTTGCAAGAGAAAGGCCTGGAGACCATCTGGTTTGATAAAAGAAAGTATGTTCTTCTGTATTCACGTTTTCACTTATACTAGATAGTTTTTTGATGACTTATCGCAGTGTTTCTCAAACATTTTTGCCGTGGTACCCTTGTAACAAATTTTTTTTTCGCGGCCACCTACCCTTAAAGCGATTTGAATACTTAGGAAGAAAAGAAAAAAAAAACAGTGCAAATGTAGTTCACTTGTCTTTATTGTGATGAATGAAACTGTGAATTAAGTTTTCATTATTTCCTTTATGTTTATGGGAACTTTAGTTAATTCTGCCCTCAGTCACCTGAAATTTACTCCTGTGTCTGTTTTTTAATGTAAGCGTACTCTGATAATGTACTGCAGCTTTGCCAATAGCATTGTTTTCTGAATACGCCTGCATCCAGAACTATTTTTTGGCTTCCTTCATGGTATTTCTGTTTTAAACTGCTGTCTTTGCTGATCTTAACTCTTTGAGTCCCAGAGGGTTTAGCATCACAGGCCCAAGGGGTAGTCAAAGGAGACTAAAATCAGTGCATCATGCGTTCACTGGGCTTCTAGGCAGTAACCTATGAACGTATGATGTGTTTCTTGGGACTCAAAGAGTTAAGCAGATTTGGAAAAATTCTTGATTATTTCTGCGGCACCCAGTTTGAGAACCGCTGACTTGTTGCAAGTTAATTAAGGGCCTTTACTCCACTGAGGGATGTTCTTCTTATTCTTTTCATCCTCTCTGCCAGTGAATTTGAAATGAGAAGGCCATGTGCGTCTGTGAAGGCTGTGGCATAACAGATGTCCTCCTTTGATCCATATGGCTTGGTTTCCATACTTAATATTGACTGGTGAAGTTCAGAACAAGAAGAAGGATGACTGGTCTGATGACTTTGCAGTCCTCTCTGTTGTGTGATATTTTGATGAAGTTGGTGTCACTTATATTTGCTGTTCTTCCCATGTGGGTTCCAGACCCCTGTTTTGGATTGGGGCCGGGGGGGGGGGGGGGGTATTAAACCCACTGCCTTCTAACAAGCATGTTGTTAAAGATGACTGTATTAAGATTTGCTGAAATCTGAAGTGTAGAGTCAATGGCACAGATATGACCGTCTTGCTGTAAACCGCAGCACATCATGCCCATGGCCTTGTTTAGGGCAAATGCAGAGGAGGAGAAGGAGATGCTGCCATCAATTCTTTGATGTGTCGCAACTTTAGTGAGGTAGTGGGCTTGTGAGTTCCAGTTGTGGCCCCAAAAGCTATGCCAACAATATCCTTACTACAGGAAAAGGACTTGGCTGTCAAGAAATAGGAGCCAGACAAAGAGAAATGCAAACCTTCTACCTTGCAGCTAGACTGAGGGTAGTCAAAGGCTAGAGAAGGTGAACATGAAATATATGAAATTGGGTGTTGAAATCAGATGTACTGAGTCCTTAAGTTGGTTCCAGGGCTCAGTTTTCGAAAGAAAAAATATGAGACCCTCTGCTCCCTAACAGACATGTTGTCAAAGACAACTAATTAAGGTTTTGTTGGGCTGAAAAGCACAGATTTCGCAGCCTAGCTGTAAACCACAACACAGTATGCCAGCTGCAGAAGAAAATTTACTGAGTCACAGGTTTAAGAAAATAGAGCAGTGTAACTTGCTTTATTATAACGATTTTTTCCATTATCTAACAATCTGATCTGATTTTTTTTTTTCAGGGATGTGGATGTTTTAGTGACGGACAATATTATGGGATTTATTCTAAACACACCCACAGACTACAGATTGGGTTTTGTCAAACTCCCAATTCATCGCAAACACTGGATAGCTATTCGCTGGCTCCAGGGTCAGTACATGAACTTGGATTCCAAACTGGACGCCCCTGTTGCAATTGGTGACCAGGCTAGCTTGTTGCAGTACCTGCGTTCAGAACTTAGCGACGGGGAGAAGGAGCTGCTACTGGTTGTTGAGAAAAGTGTCTATGAAACATCTTCATGGCGAAGAGGCAGTGATTGTTCTTTGAGAGACGAAAGTAACGCTTGTAAATCTTCAGAAAACACAGAAAATGACCGGAATGATTCCAAAACAATGAGTCTGAAAATGGCATGCAATAGAAATGGGTTACCAAATGGGGCAGCAGTGCAAGCTGATCCCCAGTCTCAGGAAACCACAGGTGACAACTGCTGTATTAAATGACGAGGTGTTTGTTCTCTCTAGGATTTTGAAATTTTTTATGGTATGCTTTATTGCTTTTCTCATTTAGCAGAGTGCTGTATTGTTAATATGTAGGGATTTGTCATGGCGCGGTAGTTATCTTGTTGGCTGCTAACTCAGTGGTCATGGATTTGAATTCAAATCAAGGCATGAATTCCCATCAGTGGTCGTATTCCCATCAAGGCATGAATTCCCATCAAGACCTGAATTCCCACCAGGGCATGAATTCCCATTAAGGCATTGATTTAAATGGGTACAAGGAAATTGCTTGGGAGATAAATGCAAACTGATATTCTCATTACTCAAGAAGCCTGTTGCAGAATAGAGGGAATGAATCTAATGGCAGGAATGGATCACAAATGGAGAGAGAACTAAATAAATTCTGGTGAATCAAGATTGAAAGAAAATGTGGCAGGTGGCTTCTGGGGTCCCACTGTGAAGAAACAAGAATAGATCCACTGTGAGGAAACAAGAATAGATCCACTGTGAGGAAACAAGAATAGATCCACTGTGAGGAAACAAGAATAGATCCACTGTGAGGAAACAAGAATAGATCCACTGTGAGGAAACAAGAATAGACCCACTGCCCCCTCACAAGCATGTCCTAGAAGTCAACTAAATAGGGGTTTTTCCTTCAAAATTGGAGTGCATCTGCCTTATAGGCAAGGAACCAACAGTCTGCATATAAAGAAGCCAGTCTGTAAAACGGACATCCACACAAGGCTTCAGTTCTAGAACTAGACTAAAGTCCACAAGAGGACAAAGAACCAGAACTAGTTGCAAGATTTTACAGCCAGTGAATGAAAAGAAGAAGGATACGGCATATATTGTGAAACCGTTATAACAATACAACTAGAATGTCATTGTGCTGAAACCCACTAGGTCAAAGAAATAAAGGTAGAGTAACAAAAGTAAGACATGGAGACAGGAATTAGAGAGAGATCTGAAAACAGAGGGGACATCGGGTGATGCATACAATAGCAAAGAATAGGATGACTTGCATTATTTGAGGTCCTATGCTCCACTGGGAAAACAACAATCAAAAGAAGAAGACCTGTTGGGTACTGACTGATTTTTAAGGTTAGCACCATGTAACCGGGTAAGCAAGGTTTGCACCATGTAACCGGGTAAGCAAGGTTCGCACCTTGTAACCGGATAAGCAAGGTTCGCACCATGTAACCAGGTAAGCAAGGTTAGCACCATGTAACCGGGTAAGCAAGGTTTGCACCATGTAACCGGGTAAGCAAGGTTCGCACCTTGTAACCAGGTAAGCAAGGTTCGCACCATGTAACCAGGTAAGCTTCAAGATGTGGAAACATGTACTGTATGTTTACTGGACTGTTTGAACAAAGAAGTCCCTAACAGATTGCACAATTGATTACCTAGCAGATTTTGCTGTATATTGTGGCGTGCATTCTACAGTAACAACTTATTTAAATGAAGCAGGTAACAGAATTCTTCTAACTGAAACAGAAAATTGATTACATTCACAAGTACTGCTGGTTTTGTCAAGGCACTTGAATCAGTTGTTGCTTTTATTTAGTGGATATGTAAGGTTAGGTTGCAGACACACATGCACGCACATACATTTGTTTATGTTGAAAACATATTTTTGCCAGTGTGTCACCCTTTCCCTTAGTGATGACACCCAGTGTGGCTTGCAACTCATGCAGACACATTGTATTATATTGAAAACATATTTTTGCCATTGTGTCACCCTTTATCTCAGTGATGACACCCAGTGTGGCTTGCAACTCATGCAGACACATTGTATTATATTGAAAACATATTTTTGCCATTGTGTCACCCTTTATCTCAGTGATGACACCCAGTGTGGCTTGCAACTCATGCAGACACATTGTATAATAATGAAAACATATTTTTGCCATTTTGTCACCCTTTCCCTCAGTGATGACACCCAGTGTGGCTTGCAACTCATGCAGACACATTGTATAATAATGAAAACATATTTTTGCCATTTTGTCACCCTTTACCTCAGTGATGACACCCAGTGTGGCTTGCACACCATGTCTCTGAGAAGATACAATGACTATACTGCAGCTTATGATTTTTGTTTTGTTGTTGCCCTGACAGAAAAAATCTATGACTGAACTGAGGATTTAAACCTGGGTCTCTGGCATGAGAGCACAGTGATTGTAACTGTTCAGCCAGCTGCTCCTCACACATTGAAATGTGCCAGGCAATAAATTGTGCAATCTGTTGTTTGTGCCTTCTGTACTCAAATTCACAACAGGATAGCATTGCTTTTATTGTTGTTAGTATGTTGACATTGTCTAGGTTTGTATACTGCTGTGCATACACATGTTTTATAAATTACATGGGCTGTGAAATAGTTCTATGGAATACTTGTTTTAAGTGGACATTTTTATAGATTTGCACAGATGGTTTTGCTAACGCTTTTTAAGCATTATGCTGAATGTCAGAGGAGCAAGGTAATCGTCTCATCAGTTCTGTTGAAAATATGTGTGTTACTAGCTGACCAGTCTGGTAGTCTGGTAGTCTTAGTTTCAGCTTCATAGCAACGGGTCGCCCCATCTTTGCTCCGTTACCAGTAATATTGCTTGCTGTTTTACCCGTTTTCATTTTTACCAGTTAGCACACTGGCTAAGATATTTTGTTACCTGTCCCACATAATGCTACTTTGTCTGTCCCACCCCCTCTGACTGACTCATTTTGTTGAAAACTTGAAGTGCACCAGCCACCCCGTCGTGAGCTAGTCTGTAAAGGGATTGTAAGGAGTTAATGAAGACCTATTCTCCATGGGACATGAAAGGCAGAAGAAGAGAGGTCGTCTGTTGATCATCATCTCTCAGGAGGCTCTTTATAAAATGTTGCTCTTATCACACCAAGTCTTCCCCTGTGTGGGTTCCGGGGCCCTATTGTGGGGAAAACAAGAATAGACCCACTGCCTCCCCAAAAGCATGTCATAAGAGTCGACTAACTGGGGAGCTTCCTTTGAAGTCGGAGTGCATCTGCCTGAGAGGCAAGGAACCAGCAGTCTGCATTCAAGAGAATCAGATCTGTAAAATTGATGCACAAGCAACACTCAGGTTCTGGAACAGGACTGCAGTCCAGAAGTGGACGAACAACCAGAACTTTACTCCAGAATGTACAGCTGGTGAACGCAAAGAAGAAGAAGAAGACAGCAAGCCTTAAAGTCTCTTTCTCTCTAGCCAATTCTCCAGCCCTGGATGCTTTCTTAGTCAAAGCATCTGCAGTGTCGTCTGCCTCTGCCTCTTTTTGTTTTAGAAACTACCATCACTACTCTCTCCAGGCCACCATGACTTTTAACCTTGCTACAATAGCTCCGTTTTTGGGAGGGAATGCTGTTTATGAGCTAATTCTCCTCCATGCTGAGATCATGTAGACAATTCCTCTGTTGATGTACACCACCAGTTTCGTTTTCTAAAATCCTTATGCTTTTGGGGTCAGATCTTGTGCCATGTGCAGTTATAAATAGTTCGGCAATTTTATTCTTCTCTATCCGTGATATTATTATTGACTAACCAAGTTTCTTTGTCCAATTTTTAGTGTTATATAAAACATTTGATGTTTCCTGTTTTTGGTGTGTTAAATATCTTTCTAGATATCACAGTTTTATGACGCTGTTGATAGTGTTTTTGGTCATTCCTCTTCTCTAAAGATGTAATAGTTTTGTCAAGTTGTTAAAAATGTTTTTGGCCATTCCGCTTCTCTTAATGAGATAATATGCAGTGTAATTAATATGATAGCATGGAAGTTGGGTGTTATGTGGAAGAAGCTAGAGTGGATATGATGTTGAAGAAGATAGAGTGGAAGATGTGATGTGATGTGGAATGATAAATGTGATGTGGAAGTAGAGTGGATGACAGATGTGATGTGGAAGAAGATAGAATGGATGATAGATGTGATGTGGAAGAAGATAGAGTGGAAGGATAAATGTGATGTGGAAGAAGATAGAATGGATGACAGATGTGATGTGGAAGAAGATAGAATGGATGACAGATGTGATGTGGAAGAAGATAGAATGGATGATAGATGTGATGTGGAAGAAGATAGAATGGATGACAGATGTGATGTGGAAGATGATAGATGTGATGTGGAAGAAGATAGAATGGATGATAAATGTGATGTGGAAGAAGATAGAATGGATGATAGATGTGATGTGGAAGAAGATAGAGTGGAAGATGTGATGTGATGTGGAAGAAGATGGAATAGATGTGATGTGGCAGAAGATAGAGTGGAATGATAAATGTGATGTGAAAGAACATAAGAGTGGATGATAAATGTGATGTGGAAGAAGATAGAATGGATGACAGATGTGATGTGGAAGAAGATAGAATGGATGATAGATGTGATGTGGAAGAAGATAGAATGGATGATAAATGTGATGTGGAAGAAGATAGAATGGATGATAGATGTGATGTGGAAGAAGATAGAGTGGAAGATGTGATGTGATGTGGAAGAAGATAGAATAGATGTGATGTGGCAGAAGATAGAGTGGAATGATAAATGTGATGTGAAAGAACATAAGAGTGGATGATAAATGTGATGTGGAAGAAGATAGAGTGGATGATAGATGTGATTTACATCAGCTGTCTGTGAGTGCCTCTCTATAACTAGAGGCCAGTGTGTCTGACTTTAGCATTCATTTGTGTATGCTCCATTTCCTCTAAACCTGATTTCCTTATAATAATTTACCATAGCAGCAGTCTCACAGCCTGCTCTGCAGTTATCATCTATATGATAATTTCTTCTTCTTTATCATATTCTCCCCATTGGCTACCGGGGACCCGTTGTGGGAGAGAACAAGAATAGACCCACAGCCTTTCCAACAAGCATGTCGTAGGAGTCCACTAACTGGGAGCATCCTTCAAAGTCGGAGTACATTCACACACCATTACCTAGGACTGAGAGATAAGAAGACATTGGGTTAACACAAACAAAATGTTGGTCTCAGCGGGGATGCATTAATCATAATA